CCACACCATGGCCACCCACTCTTAGATGGAGGAGGGTAATATTCTGAGCCCATGAGAGTTCGTACTGCATCTTGAGCTGGTCTCGCAGAGATGAGGCAAGTTCCCAAGGGCTGGGCTGCATGCTGAGGCTGAAAATACAGCCTGTGGATACAGGGATGAGTCCCAGGGGCAGTGCTGGCTAGAACTCTATCAGGACCCCAGTGAAGGAAGATGTCTGGGGAGAGCTGTAGTGCTCTGGGAGTACCTCTGTGGGGACACATGGGGCCTGAGGGCAGCTGGAGTTCCCTGGGGACAGTTCCCTGCCTCCCTTACCATGGCAGAGAGTGTCAGGGGCCTGTGACCTGAGACTTGCCCAGCTACTCACATCCAGCCCTCATGGCAGCTCCTACCTGCTGGGAGTCCAACTGGCCTACATGGCAGTTGGGAGCAGGGATCCCACCTGGCAGAGCTATAGGCCCTCACGCCCAACCCACGATGCCACCTCTCACCACCATCACCCCATTATGAAAGTCCTCCAGAGGGAGGGCAGAGAGGCTGCAGGCTGCTCCTCTCTCTAGCCCACAACTGCTCTCAGAGTCCTGTTTCCCAGAACCACATGCTGTAGGTGAGAAACACACCCTTAGCCCAACTTCGAGAAGGCAACTGGGGCCTTTCTGGCTCTCAAATCAAATCCAGGCTGATGGAAAACTGATTTATCAGTTTTAGAAATTCCAAAGAATCATCAGTGGCGGATAGAGTCATGCTTTTCCCCCGAAAGACGTCCATGTCCAAATCCCTAAATTATGTTACCTTATGTGGCAAAAGGGGCTTTGCAGGTGGGGTGAAGTTAAGGATGTCAAGATGGAACAACCATCTGAAATTATCCACGTGGCCCAATATAATCCCAAGGGTCTTTATAAAGGAAGGAGGGAGGTAGAAAAGTCAGAGTCAGGAAAGGGATTCGTTCGAAGATGCACTGCAGCTGGCTTTGAAAGTGGAGGAAGAGGCCAGGAACCAAGGCTCCCAGACAGCCTGAAGGAGGTAGGAAAGGCAAGGAAACAGTCTCCCCTAAAGCCTCCAGAAGGAACCAGCCAAAATCAAGAACATCTTGATTTTGACCCATTGATTTTTGAACTTCTGATGTGATTACCATAAGATAATAAATTTGTGCTGTTTTATGCCACAAAATTTATGAGGATTTGTTGCAGCAGAACAGGAAACGAATACATTAAGCTTTCACCTTGAGATGCCATACATCTTGAAATGCCACAGGCTGTTTGAAGCCTTTCCTTGTTCCCAGGCTAGCAGTGACTTCTCTGAATTCCACAGTCCTGGGCTCAAGATCCCTCTCCTTGGCTAAACAGAGAATGTCCTGAGATTCCACACACCTACCATCTGGGACACCCCTTGCTCCTCCGGATGCCTAGCACAGGGCAGTGATCCAAGCACCTTTCTTAAATAGCACATAAAAATCCCCTGTTGGGCACCCCCAGCCATCAGTCTTCCCTTTGCCCCTCATTTTCCAAGGACCTCACACACTCCAGAAGCAGTCACTGAAGTCAGGTTACGCTGAGCCACCAGGGAATGAAATTAGCCATCAGATCTTATTGCTTTGCTTGTGACAAATTGCCCACTGCTTTAATTGTTCCAGACTCGAGGGACCAAACCAATGTTTATAAAAACGTTGGGTATTAATAAAACAGGGAGGCTATACAGGTAAAGTGATGAATAGAAGCCTCTGTAGGAAATGAGCAATATGCAAAGTGAGCCTCTGATACCAAAATAGAAGGAGAAATCACACCTGAGAGCACCAAAGCAAGGAGACTTCAAAACCACTCCCTGGCTCTCTGAGCCCCATCCCTCCTCCTTGTCTCTCGAGGAATGATGGAGGGAATGGCAGGCAGCCACATGGGGAAGTCTAGGCATGTGAGATATCACTTCTGTACATCCCTGAGGAGCTGTCACCAAACCCAGGGGACTGGCGTGGCATCTGGGCCTCAGGGAAAGGGCCAGGACTAGTGGGAGAGGCCAGCAGGAAGTAATTTCAGCTCCCTCAGAGGCAGAAGTTTCTAGCAAGAGAGTGAGCCAAAGAAGGAAGGGTCCTTCCCCAGGTGGGAGTGAGCTCCCCACCATGACAGTGTACAAGCAGAGGTGGGTTGCTATAGAAGGGATTCAAGCATCAGGTGGAGGGTCAGACAAGACTGCTGGATCCCCAAGGAAGGTCTCAAATTCTCAAACCTGTACCTTAGTTACGAGGGCACGAATGCTGAGGGAAGCCTAGGTGGTACATGTTCTCACCCCTGCAGAAACAGGACAGCTTCAGGCCACTCTGTAAGCTGGATGAGCAGTGGGATCAAATCATCCACCCTTGTACTTCATCGTGGAGATTAAAGGACTCCTCTCTGAGACTCTGGAAAATCACTCCTGTTTTTATGAGGAGCTTTCTTTCCAGTTCTGGATTCCAAAGTATGAGATTTGTGCTCAGCTCGTGTTCTGGTTGACATACTATGCCCCTAGCATTTGCACTGCCCCCCCACCCCCCTGGCCCCACTTCTTAGCTTCCACTGGCTCTCTTCTTCTAGGGCTTTAGATTTGGGGTATGGAATGAGGTAAGGAACTGAAGGGCTGGGACTCCTCTTGGCACAGACAGCAAAAGGCATAGGTGCAAACTGCTCCCAGAGCCCACCTCTCCTTCCCTTCCCTCCACTCCTCCTCTCCCACCCCCAGCCCTCACTCAAAGCCCTCGGGGAGGAAGCAGGCCACAGGCAACACACCAGGATTGACTCTGGAGTGAATTTCATCCTCAACAATCTTAAAAAGCAGATCCCATTCTTGTTTCCATTTCACAGATGAGGGACTAGAAAGATTAAGTCACTTGCCCAAGGCCTTACAAGTAGTAAGTCAGAGGGCCAAGACTGAAATTCATGTCTCTCTGACTTCCAAAAATCCAGGAGGGGAGAGTAGAGGAAGAAGAGAGGAGGGGGTTTGGGTGGCGGCACTGGCCTGGCCCCTGGGTGGTTCCTGCAGGGAGAGGACCCAGTGAGTGGCTTTCTTGCTTGAGCATCCCTCCCTAGACTGGGAGTCCTGGGGGAGTTGGGACTGTGTTGGGGCCTGTGTGTCCATGCCAGACACAAAGCCTGGCAAAAAGCAAGTGATAGGACACAGGGGAGAGAGAAGCAGGGCAGAGCTGGACATATCCAGGAAGCAAGAGCATCATCATCAGAGAATGGTAACAAGAAAAAGACAGGAACACCAAGGATGCACTCCACCTTCACCTCCTGGCCCCAGGGTCACTGCAAAGGGAGCCATCTGTCCAGCAGGCAGAGTAAGTGCTGACACTCTCAGGCCCACTGCTCATGTGTCTGAGAGAGAGGCTGAGCTCAGACCATCAGAACCAGGCTGCTACACACCAACTCACCAGCCCTCATTGGACAGCTGAGAAAACTGAGGTCCCAAGAGGAGTAGAGACTTGCCCCAAATCACACAATGGTCTAGGCACAAAGCTAGGACTCAAACCCTGTTTCTTGCCTCTAGGCCAATGTTGCCCAAAGCCGCTTATTTAATGGCAGCAACAGAATGGTAAGCCCCCAAGAGAGCCAACAGCTGCAGACCTTTCAGGACCCTTTCCAAAATCCTACGAGACAAGTGCTGCTCCCAGGCAGTGCCCAGCCCTGTTCCTGACCCCCAGGGTGGCACAATCTTTGGTGATCCTGGCTCCTAGCTCCTGGGTTCCAGGACCCAACACAGGGCCTGGCACAGAGCAGCTGCCTGGTAGCACTAATGAGACCTAGAAATTTCCCTGACATCAACCATGCTTGGGCTCAGAGTTTGGAAGCAGCAGCTTCCAAACCTGCTTGTGCATCTATATCTTCCCAAGAGCTTTGTAGAAATACAGATTCCTGGGCCCCAACAGACACTGGTACAGGAGGGAGGCCAGCAGTTCGTGTTGGTACAAAGTGCTGTGGGATCTCAGTTGCACAGCCAGATTTGAGAGACACCCTTTTAGTGTGCTCCAATCTGAGTCGCCCTTTAGCTTAAACTTCTTTGTTCCCAAGGGCGCTCTGATGGAGATACTATGGCACTGCCAGAATCTTCCAATGGACAGAGGCATTCATTCCCCATCTGCCAGGATTTGCCCTTGAATAAAGAAGGCAGCCTCATCCAAGATCACATACCTTCCCTAGGGTTGCCTGCACCCAGTGACTGGCCCAGCCTTTTGGTGTCTATTTGGAACTTCTTTGAAGGGCCATGCTAGTTCCACAGCTCCCCATGGGCAAGCTTGGCAGAGGCTTGCGTTGCAACTTCATTGGGTGTCAGCTTCTTCCTCCACCCAGTCCCACCTTTCCCATCTCTTCCTGTGGGCACTGGCTAACAAATCTCCTGTGTGCTGAGCCCCAGGAGAGTCCCTCTCCTGGCAAACCTGACCTTGAACAGGCTCATCCTCCACCCACATATATGTCAGCTTGGACAAAACTGGTACATTGCCACCAAGTTCTCAGATGACAGTATCACCTGTTGAGAGCCTGAAACGCAGTTGCTTGCTGTAGAACCCTCATAGTAACTCAAAGGCTTTCAGCTTTTCAAAATAATGTCAAAACTTCATTGAAAGTGAGAAAGAAGTAAAGTGATAAAACTACCCCTATGCCCAGTACACTAATCCAACTAGTATAATAGCTCATCATGTTGGTTATTCTCATTTGCTTTCATCCACATGCTCAAGCCTGCCCTGCCCTTCTTTGTTTGTGGAATTAGAACTTTCAGATAGGGCAGCATGTGAGTGGCCTGGTTTTCTGACTTCCAGCTAGGCTTGGTCAGTGGGAGCCCAGCAGGAGTCAGACCAATGAGAACCCAGTGGGAGTCAGAGGGCCAATGTGAGTCCACTGGGAGTCAGAGGACCAATGAGAGCCCAGCAGGAGTCAGAGGACCAATGAGAGCATAGCAGGAGTCAGAGGGCCAATGGAAGTCTAGTGGGAGTCAGAGGACCAATGAGAGTCCAGCAGGAGTCTGCGGACCAATGAGAGCCTAGCAGGAGTCACAGGGCTAATGGAAGCCCAGTGGGAGCCAAGGGAGCTCAGTGGAAGTCAGAGAGTCAATGGGAAGCCCCAGGAGGAGTCAGCAAGAAGGCGATAAAGAGTTCAGGGTGTTTCTCCCCTTGGCTCCTCCCTGGCTTGGTTAGAGTCCCTGTGAAGCAAGCGGCTGCCCCACCCCTTGCCCTCCAGGGCACCTGATACTCCTGACTCCAATCATTACTAGTCTCTGGAGCTGCAGTAAACCTGGCTGGTTCCCTTCCCTCAGCCTAAAGTACTTCCCCTAAATCGGACTTTCTTTACTTCAGCTCTGAATATGCCATCTGTTTCTTCCCAGGACATTAATTGATACAGTAGATATAAGTATTTCAAGTAGAAATCATCAAAGTATAAACATTTTTATATCCATATTTTTCACCTAAGATTATATGATATACCTTGTAATTCATTTCACTACTAACCATACATGTATGAATCCCCTTAAGATCTGGACCTCAGCCCTCCTCTAAGTCCTGCTTACCCTTTAAGCCCATAGGTAAACAGCCCTTCCTCCATGAAGTCCTTCTGGATTCTCCAGTGAGCTGCACTCACCCCTTCTGAACATCAACATCCCCTGCTTCTTCTTCCCAGGCCCTGCTTTCTCTGCCCAGCTCTGGAGTAACTGGGAAGATCTTCAATGATCCATATCCCTGAGAATTCACCGCAGCAACACAGAGCATGAGGTGCCCTCATCCCTACAGCCGGCCCTGCAGGTGGCTGGGGGAGGATGCTGGGCTGCTGAGCATGGAGAGGATCTAAACTCTGGACAGCTCCCTCAAGGTCAGGAAAGACAGTCTGTCCTTCCCCTCCCATGGAGCCCATGGAGCCAACCCCATCCTGTAGAGGTGCTGAGTGTGTGCCCTGGGAGGGAGCTGGTGGGCCAGGTGAGCTAACTGTCTCTTGGGGTGGACACTGCACCAAAGTGCTCAGCAGGCTGACAGCCTGGGATCAGGGTCTGAATCTGTGCTAAGCTAAGCAGTTTTTATAATGTATCTTCCTGTGAGCAGTACTCAGAGACTCCAGGGAACAGGTATTTACTCTGTAGAGTCTGCGTGGAATTTTCCAAAGGGGACCAAAATCCGGAGGCACCAAGATTACTATTATTGCTATGGCTTGTTAATCTGTCCATCTGCCCCTGGGCTGTGAGGAACTGAAGGGCCAAAAGGCCCTGTCTGAGCCCCTGTCCAATTTTGGCATAATGGCCTGGCTCAGTCAGCACTGGCTGAATGAGGGAATGAAGGAGACCACAGGACACCCTATGCATCTGCCTGAAGTGGGTGTCACTTAACATCTGGTGCCCAGTGTTTCAAGGGGGAGGCTTGAGGAGCATCTGTGCTTCCTCTGTGCTCCAGTTATCAGAGAAGAGCAAGGGTTCTTAGGCAGAACTGCCAGAATGCTCCAAAAGGAAAGAGAAAGAATAGAGAAGGCTGCACATCCATGATAGATGGGAAAGGTCAGAGCAACACCGGGGACTCATTTACTGAGTGCCTGTCATATGTGGAGCCCTCAAGTATATATCACTCCTTGTGGCCATGGGTGTAAACCCAAAAGGTACAATTATGACCAGTTTATGGGTAAGTGAAATGAGATTCAGAGCTGTTGAGTCAGCTGCCCAAGGTCACACAGCTAGGGAGCCTGGGATTTAACTTCAAAGTCTATCTCTTTCTCTATAGCCTTTGCTGGAAACTACAAGCCAGCAACTTTTTTTTTTTTTTTTTTTGGAAAGGGTCAGATTAGTAAATACTTTAGGCTTTGCAGGACTTACATGTTCTTTCCCAGCAACATTGCAAATGCAGCCACACACAATGTGCAAATGAATGGGTGTGACTATGTTCCAATAAAACTTTATTTATGAAAACAAGGGACTGGATTTGGTCCAAACAGTTTGCAAGGCCACGGTTTGCAAACCCCTGTTCTAGACTCAGAATAAAAAGCCTGTGGTTCTATGTTCTCCTCTAAGAAGGCTGTGAGAGAGAGCCAAAAGCATGAACTCCAGTCAGGTGACTCCAGGTTAGCATGCTGGCTATATCCCCACTGCTGGGCCTTGGGTGAGTAAGGAAACTCTCTGAGCTTCTTTTCTTGTCTGTTAAAAGAGCATAACCACAACTTACCTTTGAGCTGTTGGAAAAGTTAAAATAAGCTAATACAAGCTAAGCGTCTACCACAGCTGAGGTTCAATAAATGGCAGTGTTCATTATCAGAAATGACAAAGTCAAGAGGGGAGGTGGGGAAGACATGCCATGGGGTTGGGGGAAGGAGGAGAAGTGATGGTGGTACCACTGATGCTAAACCCTGAAAGCTATCTCTTCTCATGAAGGCTGGCTATGGACTTTCTGCAGGGGAATGCTACTCCACAGTGCACGAAACCCCAAAGGGGATTCATAGGTGCCCATGGTGGGAGGAATCTTTTCACCACCCCCGGAAGGAGCAGATGTGTGGAGCTTGGTGACTCCCCACAGAGGGTAGGGAGACAGCTGTTCACAGACTTGATATGGCAAATTGTGTGATGTGCTGTCTTCCTGGGGCAGGCAGCCAAGAAGTGATGGAGGAGCCTCTGCAACCCCCTCCTCACAACGCCTGCTGCCCACGTCTGCTGACTCACCCAGGAGGGTCTGGACATGCCAGAAGAAATCTGAAATGGCTCTCTAGTGAAGCACAAGGCTTTGGAAGGGGATGGAGACTTGGAGGCAGGTGAATAGTTTCTTGTTTCCACTTAAAGGGCATAACTTTGGCAGAGAGGGGAGGAAATGGGGAAACTCCATCAATATTGCTGAAGGCCAGGATGTGGCTCAGGATGCCAGAAGATGAGTCCCTGGCAAGGGACGGAACTCATTGCCCCAAGACTGGCAACACCACGTTTGGCAGGAAAATTCTCCATCTGATCGAGAAGATGCTAAACTGGAACTTGAGAAGGAGAGGAAAAGTGCCCAGGAAAAACTATAAAACCAGATATGAAGAGAGCCAATATATCTGAGAAATTTTAAAAGAGGGCCATGGAACAGGAAATGCTCGGAGATTCTCAAATGTCCATATACCAAAGTACAAAGTATGGGAAACAATGGTAACTATGAAATTTTTGAGAAAGATGGTAAAGCCAAGCACAGATGTCCAACTCCCACCTAAGCTACCTCCTTATGAAAGTGACAGAAAGGACCAAGGGAATATAAAAATAGGGGGAAATCTGCTTCAGCCTTGGAAAATAGGAAAGAGTGCCATCAATATGCCACCAACTTTGAGGAATTTCTGCTAGGTACAGTGCCAACAGAAGCAGATTGAAGGCTGACTCATGGCTCTCCTTCCTGAGAAAGTAGTGCGGTGCTGCAGGGAGGGTGCATGTGCTCACAAGACTGACCTCACAGCCTCTGATGGGTGAGTGAGTGCTAGAAGAGAGGCTGGGCCACAGGAGGGTGTAGAGCCCACCTCTCACTGAGGAGTCCACCTCTCATTGAGGCAGCCCAACAGCCTTCAGGAGTGGCTGGGTCATTAGATCTCAGAACAAACAAAGCCTGTTGAAGTCCTGTTTCTCTAGGACAGGCCTGGTCATCTTGCAGACACAGCAGGCAAGTAAACAAAGGCAGAGGCCAGGGGAAACTGCACATCTGGAGCAGCTGTTTGACAAACTCATGAAGAAACCATATAAACAAGAAATGCTCACACCACCAAATGGTTCCCTAATCCCTTGGCTGCTTATCCCTGGGCTGGTCATATAAAATGTGATCATCCAGTCTTCCAGATGAATATCCAAGATGATGAATCTAACAGCATCTAGATGAAACAATGAGGGGACCTACGGAGATCACCCATTCTGTAAGCAAATACCAAGTCACGGGAGGCATAAAATGCACATGGAACCTATGAAAACTTTCTGAAACATAAAGGAAACGAACAAGGAACAGAAGCAAAGAAAGAATATCATCTCTAAAAAGACTTGCTGTAGGAAATTAAATTATAATGTCAATTATGTACTTCATGGAGGTTAAAAAAAACCTGGACTGTAAATCTAAAAATTAAAATATGCAAGAAAAGAAACTGAGATTAAAAGAAACCAGGCATAGTTAACATAATAATGACTGGAAATGAATAATGTTATGAGAATTTTAAGAGGTAATAGAAGCAACAAGGAGCAGAATTTAATTGTAGAAAACTGATTAATGTTGTGGGGGACAATCTTGAGATGTTCTCTCACAATGTGAAGGAAAAGGACTAAGATTAAAATGACCAGACAGAAAACAAAAATATGGAGAACAAACTACAAAGGCTCACTCATGAGTTATTGATATTTAAAAAAAGATACCAGAACAAAAGAGTAATAATTAAAGACATAATAAAAGAAAACTTCTGCAATCAGAAGACCAGATTCTTTGAATAAAAATGTAATCATATTTTAGACAAAACAAACATCAGCTATGTGCTAATTTTTTCTGAGTTTCAAAAATAAAGAAGAATCCTACAAGCAACCAATACAGGGGATTAAAAAAAAAAAAAACTTTATCTACAAAGAAACCAAATCAGATTGCATCAGACTTTTTTACAACATTGATGTAATGTCTAGAGAGCATATAATCATAGAAATTTGTACTTAGATAACTTGTCATTCATAGGCAAAGCTACAGAGAGAAACTGTGATTTATGCAAGGGCATGGTAGATCATAAAACTCATATGACCTTCCTGAAAAAACAAAAGATGTACTCATGCCACAGAGAGGTAAACCAAAAGACATAACTCATGAAACTGACTCATGTCAGAAGAAATTAGTCATGTAAATATGGATTTGAATCTTAAAATCAGTTATTGTAGTATAGTTTCAAAATAAAGTGAACATCTCAAATAACAACCGAAAAAAAGAATATCCACAATGTAAAGAGCAGAGTCAAATAAAAACTCAGATTATAACAATATAGAATTAGAGGCAGTAAGGGATGGGGAATCAACAAGTGTACTAATTTCTGTAACTTACAATAGATATTGTTGCATTTCTAGGTTGGCACTTAAGGAAGTAGAAGACCAATATTTTAAACTTAAAGTACAATTATAGCATAGTTTTATTATAACGAGGATGAGATATTATTTAGCTAAACTATGGGATTTGATCAAAGTTGTAATCAAGACATTTATATGCTTAAATACATTTAATAGCAACCAAAACAAGAGTAAAAATAAGTATGCAAATAAAGAAGTTAGAAGAATGGCAAAAGAAACATACATAAAAAGGGAAGGTATTATTAAGGAGAAAAGCAGAAGGAAATAAATTAAGAAGTGGATAAATCAAAGCACAGCCACTAAGAATCCAAGAACTGGTTATTTAGTTAAAAAACAAGATAATGGGATGCTTTACTGAAGACTTAACTTGTGTTTTTTGCTATCTTCTTTAGCAAGAGAAATGTCTGAAAAGATGAGTAATCTTTAAAGGAGAAGCAAGTAGACCTCCCCTCCCCCAAGCAATCAAGTGCTTGATTGTAGCTGCTTTAATGAGGAGGAAAAATATGTAGCTCTATTAAGTCACAAAATCTACTAACAGGACCATCTGGGAGTAGAGCTCTAAGAGGAACCTTCTCTGACCTGTGGGGATGTGGATATCTGAGAAGAAAAAGCCAATAGAGGTTCTAAATCCATAGGAGGAGCTTGAGGATGCCAGGAAGTGTGTCTAGGAACCTAGATTAGCAGCAGTAACCAGTCAGACCAGTGTCCACAGCACACCCAAGTGGCAGCAGGAAGCAAGGGCTGCCGAATGCAGGCTCTCCCAGCTTTCTGATGGAAAAACCAAGAGTTGTTGGTCATTTTAGAGGAGGGTGATAGACATAGACAGTGACCCTAGTGTATCTGGCAGGTGGAGTGCTTGATCCAGGTTTAATTTCACTTGAAAAAATAATTAAAAAGGTAACCATTTTCTTCCCACAGAATTTAAGATGTTAATAACAATTATATCAATAAAAGAAGCAAACTAGCTAATCAAGGGGAAAAGTGGAAAAAAGACATCTGTAACAAAAAAGAGCATATAACAAAAAACAGAGACTTTAAAAACTGTACTGAAGTATATGCTAATAAATTTGAAGGCCTCAAAGAAATGGACTATTTTCTGGAAAATATGTTACTAAATCCATTTAAGGAGCATAAAGCCAAAATCTTATTGATTCCATGCTTATTGCATGGAAGAAGCTACAAAGATAACCTGTAAAAAGGGCAGACTGCAGGATGTAATATCCTGGATGGTTTCATAAGTTCACCTTTTTATTTTCAAAGAGCAGCTAATTTGTATCTATAAACTATACAGGACTCCTAAAAACATGGAAAGTTTTCCAATGCCTGTTGTAAAACTAGAATATTCCTGACAACTAAGCCTGACAAAGATAGCACCATCACAGCAAAATCTAAATTATCATATGTACTTACAAAAAAAAAATAGATGAATTGGTTAAAAGAATAACAAACAGCATAACACAGTGGAATGCCAATATGGTTTAAAGTAAATATGAATTCCAGACCCATTTATCCAATAGCCTATTCAACCTCTCCATCTGGATATCCAACAGGCATATCTAAACTGTTGATTTCCTTTGCTGAAACTTGCTCCTCTGCACTCTCCCTCAAGTTGAGAAGTGATAACTCATTCTGTCCAGCTGCTCAGAGCAAAATTTTTGGTGCCATCTTTGATGCCTCAATGTTTATCATTCACATACTCATTCATTCCATCAAGAAATCTTGTCAGCTCTACTGTCAAAAACTATACAGAATCTGATTGATGTTCACTGTCTGGTTCAAGTCACCACCAACCTCTACTCAGTGGCACCAAAAGTACCACGTTTAAAAACCTAAGTCAGATAAAATCCCTCTTATTAAAAAAAAAAAAAAAAAACTCTTCAGTAGTCCAGAAATAAAACCATACTACATTGGTCAGTCCATTTTCAACCAGGATCCCAAGACCATATAATGAAGAAAAAATCATCTTTTCCACAAATGATCCTGGAACAACTGACTAGCTTCATACGAAAGAATGAAGTTGGAACCTTACCTCATATCAAATATAAAAGTTAACTCAAAAGAGACTAAAGACCAGGGATTTTATCTGACTATAAAATTCCTAAAAGGAAGCATAGGCTTAAGTATTAATGACCTTGAATTAGACAATGGTCTCTTAAACATGACATCAAAAGTAAAAGCAGCAAAAGAAAAAAAGATAAATTTGACCTCACTGAAATTAAAAACTTGTATGCCAAAAACAGTATTAAGAAAGTAAAAAGAACCCTTAGAATAGGAGAAAATATTTGCAAGTCACCTATCTGGTATGATCTAATCCAGAATAATAAAGAATGCTTACAACTCAATAACAAAAAGACAAACAACTGGACAAAGGATCTGAATAGGTATATCTCCAAAGAGGATATACAAATAGCTAATAAGCACATGAACACAGGTTCAACATCATTATTCATTAGAGAAATGCATATCAAAACCACAATGAGCACAAGTCACGCCCACTAAGATGGTTATATTCTCTTTTAAATGGAAAATAACAAGTGTTTGCAGGATGTGAGAAATTGGAACCCTCATACATTGCTGGTGGGAACGTAAATGGTATATCCATTGACACAAACCAGAAAATGGTTTGGCAGTTTCTCAAAATGTTAAACATAGAGTTACCAAATAACCCAGCAATTCCACTTCTAGGTGTAAACCCAAGAGAAATGATAACATACATCCCCACTCAGGCACCGTTATTCATAAGAGTCCAAAGTAGAAACAACAGAAATATCCATCAACTGGTAAATGATAAAATGCGTTATATCCACAAACTGGAATATTATTTGACCATAAAAAAGAAAGGAAGTCCTGCTACAACACAGATGAACCTTGAAAACATTATGCTAAGTGAAATAAGTTAAACAGACAATGCCACATATTTCATAATTCCATGTATATGAAATGTCTATCATAGGAAAATCCATCCATAGAGACAGAAAGTAGATTAAGAGCTGGGGGCAGGCTGCTAATGGATGTGGAATTTCTTTTTGGAGTGGTGAAATATTCTTGAATTAGATAGTGGTAATGGTTGTACATTATTGTGTACATACTGAAAACCACTTAATTGTATGCTTTTAAATGAGGGATTTTGTGGCATGTGAATTTTTTCTCAATAAAAGCAAAATCCAAAACACTCTCCAATAGTTTCCTAACCGACTCAAAGTATAAGCCAAAGTCTTCACAAATGTCCTATAAGGACCACAAATCTCTTCCCCCACCTCTACACCACACCAACCACTCCACTTCTCCCACACCCACCCTGTTCCAGTCATCATGGCCTCCCTGACACTGCTCCAGCACCTCCAGAGTCCCTCCCACCTCGGGAATTTTGTGTGTCTTGTTCTCCCTGCCTGGAACACTCTCCTTTCAGGTCTCTCTATGACCTGCCCCTCACTGCTTTAAGGTATCTGCCCAAACATCACCTCTTTGAGGCTCTCCTTGATTTCACTGCACTCTGCATGGATTTCCTTCTCCCTTAACTCTGTCTCCCTAGCACTTATTATCATCTGACATATTTTAAATTTATTTGCTCATTTTTTTAATCATCTGTTTCCCCACACAGAATGTAAGCTCCTTGAGGGAGGGACTTAGTTTCACTCACTGATGTGTCCACAGCACCTAGAACGGTGACCAACACAGGCTAGGCACTCAACACATACGTCTTAAATGAATGACTACATTACCAAACAGATACAAGGAAACTGATGACTATAATTTGTCACACTAATAGATCAAAGGAAAAATCCACAGCTATCAACATAAATTTTAAAAAGACATCTGACATTTTAGCATGCATAGCTGGTACAAACACTGAGTAAATAAAAATACAGCATCCCCTGAGATGATGAAGAAGATCTGCTCTTCTAACAGACATCAAACCTTACTAAGAGCATTCTATTAAAGTCAAGGACAAGACAAGAATTTCCACTGTTATCACTATTTTAAAATATAACTTTAGAACATCTGATGAATGAAGCAATATTAACAACAATAACATATATTATTCATATGTTAATTATAATATATAGAGAGTTTCCATATATATAGTGGGTATTCACTTCTTTGGACAGTTCTAAGCCCTAAATGCTTTACATGTGCTAGCTGTTTTAATACTCACAACACCTAAGGTTATATTAGCATTTCCCCATTATCAGGGACACAGAAAAATTAAACAACTTGCCCAAAGTCACGCAGCTGGCAAGTAGCTGAGCTGGAATTAGAACCCAGATGGCCATTCTGCTATGACTGTCACTTACCATCATGCAGTACTGCCTCAATAAGATATGATGAAAATAAAGATGCCATAATGCTGGAAAATAGAAAGCAAGTCTATTCTTGCTCCAGATGTTATTGTATCTACCAAAATTCAAGATGATTAAGAGGGGAAAAACTAGCAGAAGTAATAGGAGTTCAATGTGGCCAGTGATAAGATGTGGATACGTACATCAATAGCTTTCCCATATCGCACCAGTAACCTTTTAAAAACATCAAGCAAAGTAGTCCCCATTCCCTAAAGCAACAATAAATGTAGAATACATGATAATAAATCTAACTGTTCATGGAAAGGACCTGTATGAAGAAAATGACAAAACTTTGCTGAGGACCCAACAAGAAACTGAATGGAGAAACGTTCCATATGCATGAGTGGGTAGACATGATATTATAAAGATGTCAACTCTTCTACAAATTAATTAAAGTAACTGAAATTCAAACAAAAATACCAAAATTAAACTGGTGAAAATGAAAGCAATTGTTAACAAAGAAAGGAGGGCTGAACATTAAAGGAACCCTGAGGCACCCATTCTAGCACAGACAGATCAATGGAACAAAATGTAAAAACTCAGCACAGTCAAAAGCTGCACTGTCCAAGACAGTGGCCATTTAGCCATATGTGACTACCAAGCGCTTGAAAACCTAGTGACACATGTTGAAATGATAGCATTTTGGATATGTTGCATTAAATAAAATATATTATTAAAATTAAGGTTACCTGTTTCTTTTTACTTTATAAAATGTGGCTACTAGAAATTTTAAAATTGTATATGTTGGTTTACATTGTATTTCTATCATACAGAACTGGTCTACAGCATATATAAAATGTAACATATCATTTTCTAAAGATAAAATTTACCATATGCATTTTAAATAAATCTGAAAAAAATTTAAGTGCTGAAAGAAAACTTGAGTGACTATGGGGGCAGGAGAAGGTTGATATTTTATACCATATACTGAAATTCCAGATAAATTTAAGAATGAAGTAAAAAAACATACTAGAAGAAACATAGGTGTGTATTTGCCAAAATTTTGGAGATGGCAAGAGCTTGCCAAGCATGACAGAAAGGTTAAAAAAAAGGGTCTTGATAAATTTGACTGTATAAAACACTAAATTTTTCAATAGATCAACTAACCTAACATCAAAAACAAAATGAAATGTCACACGAAACATGGAAAAATAGCTTCACAAATGTGACAAAAGGCGACACCCTTACTTTAGAAAGAGCTCTTATAATCAATAAGAAAAAAGAACACTCTAATAGGAAAAAGTGCCAACAACATGAACAGCCAATTTACAAAAGGAGAAACAGAAATGAGAAATATTCTTAGTTAAAAAAAAAATTCAATCTCAATAGTAATGAAAGAAATGCAAATTAAAATAGCAATTGCCAAAAATCAGAAAAGAATAATACACAATATTGGCAGGGAGTGCTCCTGTATGCTGCTATGAAACTCTAAATTGGTACGATCTTTCTGGAGGACAATTTGGCAATATGTACAAAAGGTTCAAAAATGTGCATATGCTATTTCTAGGAATTTATCTTCAGAAAATAATCAGAGCTGTTCCCACAAAAGTACAAGTATGAGTTTACTGCATTATTTATAATCAGTAAAAATTGGCAACTACCTCCATGTTCAATAATGGGGGCCTTATAGTGTAGTTGATGGCATACATGCAGGGTAGAATATTTTGAATGGGAATTGTATAAAGGCAGTGACAGCAAACAGACATTCACTTCCTGTCCCAACCCCAAATCCTTGAAATGGTCAGCCAAAAAAATGTTAAAAAAAAAATCCCAATAGTTTTAGAAAAAAACAAGAAGAGCATTAGTGGACAGAATATTTGCAGAATTATTGGAATATAGGAAGAAACGAAACAGATTGTAGGATAAATATGACCGGAGGCAAATATAGTCCACAACACATCACGGCTACAGCACAGATTGGGGTCAAGTCAAGAAGCTCTGTAGCCATTAGGAGTCATGATGACGGAGTCATGGAGAACATTTGCTGGCCTGGGAAAACACTCCCCCTGCATTGCTAAGAAGCCATTTCGATAGCAAGAGCATGTATTTATTTATACATGTCCATTTATGTGCACTGAAAAAAATGGTAAAGACATCAGCCTAGATGTTAACGGTGATCTTTTAGTGGGTAGGTTATGGCCAATTTTAAATTTTCCTTTGTGCTCTTTTGTGTTTTCCAAGTTTTCTGCATTGAGTATATGTCCACATTATAGTTAGAAAACAATAATTAGTACTTTAAAATAAAAATAACCACAAAAAAGAACTTGCCATTTTTTATAGTAAGAAAGTAACTGAAATCTTATTATTTTTTCTTTGAATTACTGCAGGAACTTCCTGGATGCTTTCACAGCCTCTGGTCCGCTCGTCCCAATCAGCCCTCAGGACTGCTATTATCTCACTCCTCATTTTAAAACTATCCATGTCTCCCTACTGCTGACTGGTAAAGTCCCAACTTAGAGGCATGCAGGGGTCTTCACCATCCTTCTTGCCTCCCAGCTCATCCTTCCACTCCTCATTCTGTTCATGGAGCTATTGAGCCCCAACAGAATCTTTGCTGTTTCCTGAAGGTTCCACACACCTTCCCAACTCCACTCCTTTGCTCATGCGGCTCTGGCACTACCCAAGCCTGGCAGATGGGCCTTGGGGGAGAAACCATAGCCAGAATGTACCAGAATAGCTCTAGGGAACCTACACACTACAAGATGAGCTGCCCTGTCAGCCAAGAGGACCAACTGAAACAATGTGTCCCGGGAAGTGTGGCAGGAGCAGCCGTGAAGGGATGGTGCTCTGCTCCGAGATTCTGGACTTGGGAAAATAATAAAAATGTAATGCAGAATCCCACAGCAAAAATTCCAAAGAACTGGAAAGAGGTCCCCTTGATTCATGGTTGATTGGCCTATATATTCACCTCCATGCTTCTTTGGGAGGTGGGATACAGGGATTGGGGGGATATTGGCCCCAGACTCCTGGCTTCCTCTTCTTCACAAGGGCAGGCACAAACCGGGGTTCATGTCTGTATCTGCTACCTTGTGGCCTATGAGACCTGACAGTTATCCTCCCTTGAGTGAGTCCGTTCTATAAAAGGGAGACAGAGCCAGATGCTGTGGCTCACGCCTATAATCCCAGCATTTTGGGAGGCCCACGTGGGAGGATCACTTGAGCCCAGAAGTTAGAGACCAGACTTGGTAACAAAATGAGTCTCTTTCTCAACAAAAAATAAAATAAAAATAGTCAGGTGCGGTGGCGTGTGCCTGTAATCCCAGCTATTTGGGAACCTGAGGCAGGAAGACTGCTTGAGCCCAGGAGTTTAAGGCTGCAGTGAACTATGATTGCACCACTGTACTCCAATCTGTCTCAATAAATAAATATATAAGGCAGACTACACTATGTTGGATAATTAAACACAACTACCTGGCACACAGTAGGTTCTCAATAACCAGCAGATGACATTTACATTTTCCTGTTCCTAAGGTCTGATGTGGGGGTTGCTTCACAGGGCTTGAGTCCTGCCTTGGACCCTGGTCCAGGGCTGAGCAGGAGGCACCAGGTGTCCTTGGTGAGGGTGCTAAGGACACTGTGGATGGTTCTTTTCCCCCAGAGACCTGAAGGACCTCCTGTGAGCTGTTTCAAAGAAGACACACTCACTCAGTCAACGCTGTGTTCCAGGATCCTCACAGCTTGGGTGGAAGATACATTTATCTAATATCACATGCCCTCTTGAGCAGAGAGTGCAACATTCACCCAGCCCTTCAGTAGCCTGGCGCTGGCACCACAGGCCCATGGCCAGTCACCCTAGCCTCTCTGAGCAGGGTCCTTGTGGCATGGGGAGAAGGACTCCACTCTGAGGACCTGGTGTGGAGTATTAGGAGTGATTATCCACCAGGTCCCAAGGTCTTCCTTTTGAACCACAAATGGGACAGCCATCTTCTCTCTGCTCTGGAGTAGAGGCAAGAGGAGCCTAGTGGGCCATCTGTCCCGAGGGCAGGAGCTCTGAGTCAGACAAAGGCATCCAGCTCGGAGGTCTGTCTTCTCTTCAGCAGGCTTTGCCATGGCAGCCATCCTGGAGCAAAGCATCCTGGAAATTCTCCAGGTGTGCACACACTGCCCCAAGATGGCAGAAGTACTAGAAACTGGAGCCCCTGACAGGCGGGGACTCTCACCCAGGTGGGGTCTTCCTGCTCTGCAGGGGTGGGTAGGACAGAGTACCTGCTAGTGGGCTGCACTTCCCACAGGGGACATTCACATGAAAGAACAAGTATTGCTTGAATCCCAGGATCTGTCCCTATGGAGCCCAGCAGAAGACTGAAGGCCTGTGGGGCTGATTCTTGACCTTGATCAAATGCCTTTCCCATTGAATATCTGCTTTAGATAGAGCTTCAAGGAGAAGTCTATTGCCAGTCCCACTCCCCACCCCTCACCCACCTACCCTCATGAGTTGAATAAACAGGCAGCTAGGTGGTTTTTATTCATCCCAGTGGTCCCCAAACTTCAGTCACTCCTGCACCTCTGAGAGGCCGTTTCACCGTGTCTGTGCACTACTCATGTAAACATTCATTAGTATTTTCATTTAAACGGTCTCACTTTTCAAAGAGGGATTCCATCCTAAGCAATAACATCCATGAAGTACAGTTTTGATGTGCTAGTCATCATTTTACTTTTTCCTAGTGTATAAGAACACAAATACAGAGCGATTAAAATTGTACAAAAATCATATCACATATTTAAACCACATTCTGGGAAATAATGGACCTACCCCACCCCTTCAAAATGTCAAAGAGGCTGCCACAAACAGCCACCGAGGTCTGGACAGGACAGATAAGAAGCTGTTCCTGCTGGCTGACCCACAGGCCTGGGCTCTTGCAGAACTTGAGGGAAGAGCACAGAGGAGGAAAGGATGCTTGCTTGGGCATGCAGCCAAGTTGCTTAAAAGCATTAGCAAGTTCTTTAGACAAAATTTGGGGCCAGAGGTGGGGCACTAGTACCATTAGGATTAGAATCTGATCTGTCGTGAGTCCCCTTCTGTCTCCTCATGATAAAACATCTGCAGATACACTGGCAGCCCAGGTGATCCTGCAGCCAGGAGGGATGCCAAGGGCAGAGCTCAGAGGTGGCTCAGCCCTCCAAGTGTGCTTGGCCTTGTTCTTAGCTAAAGTGAGCTTGGGAGCACAGCGGTCCCACCTGAAGTGGTTCTCAAACTCTAGCTGCATCAAAATCATAAAGCTGAGCGCATCCCAGTGTCTGATTCACTGGGGCTGGGATGGAGCCCAGGTGGTCCTGCTGATGATGCTGGTCCAGGGACCACAGTTTGAGAACCACTAGTATAGAAGCCAGCATTGCCCGATCCTGAAGAGAGAGGATTCTGAAGCATTAGCAACTCAGGAAAAAAATCTCCCAGGATGACAAAGTCAGAAAAATTACCTTAGACACAAACTATGTGTGCATTCCCAATGCCCAATACCTACATCACCTACAAGCAACCACATGGCAGGTTCCCGGGGACTGTTGATGCCAGTGGCTGGTCTAGAACTTTCCACTAAGATCTCTAGACGAATTTCCATCAACAAACAATGTCACATGAAAAACAGACTTCAAATTAAGAAATGACAGCATGACCTGTATGAAGTTCTGCAGGAGTTAGACTTGCTGACTCTGCCAGAACTGCCTGGCTCTTTGCAACCTTCCCACCTTGCCAAGTTGCCATCTGTCCCACCAAAAGGGCCTCAGGTAAACTCCTTTAAAGTTGCTGCTTACTCTTCTGGAGCAGTAGCCCAGGAGGTACTCCTGCAGGGGAGGATAGGGAGACTCCAGGCTTGCATCTAATCTAGGCTCCACCCTTGTTAGAATCATCCATCATTCCCTGCTGCTCTTCCCGATGGCCCCAGTGACTCAGACAGGAGGCAGTCAGGAGAGGGAATGGCATTATTACAAACCCAGATGCTAGGGCTGGGGTTTCCCTGCACCCCTTACACCTTCATCTCACCATCCCAGGAACAAGTGGACTCAGGGACAACAGGAGGGAAAGAACTGCATTTGTCCCTAAGAATCTGACCTAATGGATAAACAATCCTGTGCTGAAATCCTCACTGAACACACCCGCACCAGGGAGCATGCAGGGTGAGGGGACACAGGGATCCACTGTGGCTGTCATCCGTAAGTACTCTCCAGTCCAGAGACAGTGAGTGAGAGACGAGGAAGCAGATGGTGTCTTGTGCTGCACCATTTAAAGAACTGGTAGGGGGAGAAAAACGAGGAGCAAGAGCACAGAGGTGACACACCTGAGCCAGCTGGAGAGGCAAGTTGAGTCAGATGGAGGGCAGGATGTTCCTGCCAAGAGAGAAGCCAGCATGAAGGTGTGGCTGGACCAAAGGGCAAAGGAAGAAGTGACTGCAGGTGACAGAGAAGGAGGCCTCACGGAGACTGTGAAGGGCCTCTTGAGCCATGCTAAGGAGCTTCTTCCTGCTAAGAGCAGCAGGAGAGGATGATGATTCTAACAAGAGTGACTCCTAGGTTAGGTGCAAGGCCAGGGTCTCCTTGGCCTCCCATGCAGGAGTGTCTCCCAGGCAACTGCTCCAGCAGAGAAAGAGTAACTTTAGAGGAGTTGACTCAAGGCTCCTTTAGTGGGGCAGATGGCAACTTAGCAAGGGGGCAAGGTTTCAAAGGGCCAGGCAGGACCCTGGAGGGCCTGAAAGGGCAGGTGCTTTGAAGAGGAAGCTCTGCAGATGGTGACCTTCTGTCTTGGGTAGATTAAGGGTCTCGGTGGGGCCTGCCACTTGAAAGAGGTCACCAGTATGGAAAGGTCAGCCTCAGAAGCCTCGAGATCACTGAGGACCAGTGGCTAGGTGGGGAGTCTTGGAGCTTGGAGGGAGAAAAGGGAAAGGTAGCCATGCTCAAGATGGGCACAGAAATTCTGCCATGCAATGGGGCTCCTGAATGCGGGCCAGCCACCAGCTAAGGAACCAGATTCTGGATGATAATAAAAATAAGATCTGTCCCTTGTGTGGCACTGAGGATGAGCCAGGTACTTTTCTTAATACTTTAAGTATCCTAACACATTGAATCCTCTCAAGAATCCTAAGAAGTAGGTGCCATTATTATCCCCATGCTCAAGATGAAAAAAACAAGGCAAATAAGCCTATGAAAAGATGGTCTACATCATATGATATCAGGGTAATTCAAATTAAAACAACAAGAAGATACCACTGCACATCTATTAGAATGGCCAAACTCCAGAACACCGTCAATACCAAATACTGGAGTGAACGGGGAGTGACAGAAACTCTCAGTCGTTGCTGGTGGGAATGCAAAATGGTACAGCCACTTTGGAAGACAGTTTGGCATTTTTTTGCAACATGAAACATACCCTTATCATATGATGCAGTAATGGAGTGCCTTGGTATTTACCCAAAGGAGCTGAAATCTGATGTCCACACAAAATCCTGCACAGGGATGTTTAGAGCAGCTTTACTTATAACTGCAAAAACTTAGAAGCCACCAAGATGTCTTTCAGTAGGTGAATGGATAAATGGTGGTATATCCTGACAATGGATATAGTCGACTCTCGGTAACCACAGGTCCCTTATCCATGGATTCAACCAATTATGGATCGAGAATTTTTTTGTCGGGGGACAGAGAGAATCTCATTCTATTGCCCAGGCTGGAGGACAGTGGTGCCATCTCAGCTCACTGCAACCTCTGCCTCTCAGGTTCAAGTGATTCGCCTGCCTCAGCCTCCCAAGTGGCTGGGATTACAGGCACCCACCACCATGCCCAACTAACTTTTTTGTATTTCTAGTAGAGACAGGGTTTCACCATGTTGGCCAGGCTGGTCTTGAACTCCTGACCTCAGGTGATCTGCCCACCTTGGCCTCCCAGAGTTCTGGGATTACAGGCATGAGCCACCAAACTCAGCCTTAATGATGGATTTTTTAAAAAAAAATTAAAAAATAACACAACATCAAAAAATAACACAAATAAAAAACCAATGCAGCATAATAACTATTTACACAGCATTTACATTGTATTAGGTATTATAGGTAATCTGGACATAATTTAAAGAATGTGGGAGGATGTGCACAGGCTATATGCAAATTCTACACTATTTTATATCAGGGACTTGAGCATCCTCAGACTTAGGTCTCCACGGGTTCCTGGAACCAATCCCCCATGGTGACTAATGGATGGCTGTGTTATTTAGCACAAAAAATAATCTATCAAACAATGAAAAGACATGAAGAAAAGTTAAATGCATATTAAAGAAGAAAAAGAAGCCAATCTGAAAAGGCTACATTCTGTATGATTCCAACTAAACAACATTATGGAAAAGGCAAAACTATAGGGATCAGTAAAAAGACAGAGAAATTCTAGGGCCATGAAGATACTCTAATGATACTATAATGATGAATATATGTCATCATGCATTTGTCCAACACCATTCAATGTACCCCATCTAGAGTGAACCCTAATGTAAACTCCGGAGTCTGGGTGATGATGCCATTTCAATGTAGATTCATCAGTGACAAATGGTGACAGGGATGGTGACAATGAGAAAGCTAGGCTTGTGTGGGGGCAGGGAGTGTATGGGAAATCTCCATACCTTCCTCTCAATTTTGCTATGAATCTAAAATTAGTCTTTTAAACAAACAAAACAGGCACAAAGAGGCTAAGGAATTCTCATGGCCATGTCCCTGGGAATGGCAGGATTGGGGCCAAAGACCAGGTTTCCATATGCTCACATCCTAGAATCCAAAATTCTTTGAACTAGGAGGGATCTTAGCAGTCAATTGGCCCAATTCTCTTAGCTTACAGAAGGGGAAACTGAGGCCCAGAGACAGCAAGTGATTGGCTTGCGGACACT